TCATACATATGTGTTGAATTAAAATGATCACCACTACACTTTCTATTCTAATACCTACATTAGGAGTACGAAAGTAATTAAGAGTCACAACCAACGTTGAAGGCCTGCTCAGCAGTTTATTAGAAGTGCTATCTTGGGGAAATTCTTCAGTCTCATTAAATATTAGTTGCCTCGCTTACAAAGTGAGGATATTAAGAGCGACTCACAATACTGAGTTGTTGTGAGCTCATAATAAGGTAATGTAAACAAAGTTCTCATGCAGTATCTCATACCTGTACTTTGTCTATTAGTATTAGTGGGAAGTGATAATAATGGTAGCAATGGAATGGTCTCTAAAGATACAGTCCAAATTAACTGTAGGAAATAATCATCTGTGCCATTAAATTACCTGCCATTTTATAGAAAACAGGGTAAAAAAATTAACTGAATTTAAAGAGGTTAACTGAGGTCTCTACCAAATCTATCTGACCCCAAACCATAGCCATCATTATAGTCATTATAATCATCATAGCCTCCATAACCTCCACCATAAATTCCACGCCTCATCCTTTCAAAGCCAGCTCCCCTGCCAATGCTGTTATACCCTCTACCAGCCCCAGGTCTGTCATGGGGACCTGGCTGCTGCATGGGCATAAGCTTTTGTGGTGGGTCATAGTGAGTTCTGACTTCTGCTTGACTGCTCTTAAAAATTTCAATATATCTGTACCCTATTCTTTCCTTGTGTTTCTTTAGAGCCTTTTCAGCTATTTTCTGTGAAGCAAACTGCATGAAGGCTTCCCCCGTACTCCTCCCCTGGAAGTCCACCAGCAATGTTATCTCATTTGGCATGATTTCCAACCCTGTGAAGAACTGAACAATTTCTTCCTTGCTACATCCAAAGGGGGGTCCTCTACACCATACAAAGTCATCATTGGCCGTGTCAGGACTATTTAGACCAGTATGCTTCAACACCCAATCCATTTCAATGTTGTTTGACCTGAATACTTCAACATATCTGTGTCCCATAGTTTGTCTTTTTTCAGGGACAATTTGACTTCATCTTCTGATTCAAGTTCAACAAAAGCCTTGCCACTCAGTCTGCTTTCTCTGGTATAGATGAAACATATATCTGGAGCCCCATTTTGGATTTTTCAGTCATAAAAACAAACAAGCAAACAAACAAAAAAAACAGTAAAGAAAAAACAAAAAACTCTGCACTTCGTCCGCCGAGCAAGACCAAGGAGACCTCAATTACTATTTTTTAGGAATGTCTGACCACATGTATAGGGATGGTGGCTCTACTTTCCAGAGCACAACTGGACACTGGACACATGCGGGGATTACTTTACAGAGCTACTGAGAATGGCATTTATAATTTTTTTCACCACTCAACCCTGTGAGAGTACATATTGAAATTGGTCCTGATGGCAGAGTAACTGGTGAAGCAGATGTTGAGTTTGCAACTCATGAAGATGCTGTGGCAGCTATGTCAAAAGACAAAGCAAATATGCAACACAGATATGTAGAACTTTTTTTGAATTCTACAGCAGGAGCAAGTGGTGGTGCTTATGAACACAGATATGTAGAACTCTTCTTGAATTCTACAGCAGGAGCAAGTGGTGGTGCTTATGAACACAGATATGTAGAACTCTTCTTGAATTCTACAGCAGGAGCAAGTGGTGGTGCTTATGAACACAGATATGTAGAACTCTTCTTGAATTCTACAGCAGGAGCAAGCAGTGGTGCTTATGCAAACCAGTCCAGATATGGTGGCCCAACCAGCCAGCAGCTGAGTGGTGGTTATGGAGGTGGCTATGGTGGCCAGAACAGCATGAGTGGATATGAGCAAGTTTTATAGGAAAACTCCAGTGATTTGCAATCAAACATTGCATAGGCAGCCAAGGAGCAGTGAACAACAGCTACTACAATAGTGTATTCTGTACATCTGTGGGAGTGAAGGGAATGGGAGGGATGTCTAGCATAACTAGTATGAATGGTGGATGGGAATGTAATTGATTCTTATCACTGACTCTTGGTCAACATTATTTTAAAGAAGAAAAAAAAAGTAACAATTTTTGCAATACCAACTTGTGATTTATGCTTACTCTAAGTGGAAATCAGGATTGAATTAAAGACTTAAAGGTTCATTATTTTTTAACAGAAATATTCATCTAGGATGTAACAATTAAGTTGAGTAAACTATAACTGTTAAACAATTTTTAGCTTTTCTCAAGTTAGTTCTATTGTAGGATGTAGTTAAACAGTAAGTATATTTAGGTTAAAGAAGTTGAAATATGTTAAATGTTGCTCTTACACCACATCGCATCGAACACTGTTTGTGGAAGCATCTTGAAAAACATGCTTTTTTGTAAAACTCGATATAGGAGCTGTGTCTACATTTAAAAGTGAAATATTTGGCATGTTTGTTAATTCTAGTTTCATTTAATAACTTCCAAGGTATGTAAGTTTAAGCTTTTTTTAATTAATGGGGAAATTTTGAGATGCCATACCAATACTTTGGGATTCTGGTCTTGGTGTTTGTATGAAATTCTGAAGCCTTGATTTAAATCTTTAATTGTATTGTGATTTCCTTTTAGGTGTATTGCGCTAAGTGAAACTTGTCAAATATTTTTTTCTTTAAAAAAATAAAACAGCCCTGGCTGGTTTGGCTCAGTGAATGGAGCATCTGCCTGTGGACTGGGGGGTCCTGGGTTTGATTTTGGTCAAGGGCATGTGCCTTGGTTGCGGGCACATCCCCAGTGGGAGGTGTGCAGGAGGCAGCTAATCGATGTTTCTCTCTCACTGATGTTCCTGACTCTCTGTACCTCTCACTTCCTCTCTGTGGAAAAATCAATAAAATATATTTTAAAAAAATAATAAAATAAAATAAAAGAGGTTAACTGAGGAATCAAGAATAGAATGTGAGAATTAATTGTCAATCATCACCTCTTATCCTGAGTATACATTGACTTTTGGATGAAGGTTAGCTGGGTCCATCAATAGGGATTCTCTAAATGACTTTAAATGATTGCAGGCTCCAAAGTTGTCATCTCAGGCTGCAAAATGACAAGTCTGGCTGTTGGTACTATCTTTGAAGCTAATACAGGTGTACAGTTTCCTCTGCCATCTATCCAGGAAACACTAACAAGATAAAACAGCAGCAGTGACAGCATTGGGACTTAAGCATATGATGCTACAGGGTGGGCAGCTAATGAATTCCCCTATCAACACAGCTTCCGTGCCTTATGAATGCAGCCAGGGATTTAAAATCCATCATCCACAGCTTCCAGGAGTCAATAAGTTATTTCTTGCCCTGTTACACTGAGCAATACCCCAAGAGTAATGACTAGTAACAGTGTGAGTGGTGGGTCAATGAGATAATTCATCCCACCAACGGTGTTAAGGTAGGTTTGTCATTAGGTCACATGAGCCATAGTGCTCACCTGATGTGCCTGGAGTTTGCCTTGTTCACTGCACATTAGATTCCTATTTTTTTAAAATATATTTTATTGATTTTTCACAGAGAGGAAGGGAGAGAGACAGAGAGACAGAAACATCGATGAGAGAGAAACATCGATCAGCTTCCTCCTGCACATCTCCCATTGGGGAAGTGCCCGCAACCCAGGTACATGCCCTTGACCGGAATCGAACCCGGGACCCTTCAGTCCGCAGGCTGACGCTCCATCCACTGAGCCAAACCGGTTTCGGCTAGATTCCTATTTTTAAAAAAAGCCTCTGC